AAAATCTGCTTTGCTGATCTTTAGATAGATATAGATATAGATATAGATATGTTGGCTCTCATTCTGCTGCAGACCTAGAGAAGGACACTTTGTGGGGAAGGGGCATCACATCTGGGCAGGGAACCATGGCGGAAAGCCAATGTGGGTGTGTTCAGAGAGATTTAATTGCATAAAGTATTAATCAAATAAAACCAAATGTTTTAATATTGGAGGAGAGGGTTTGGAAAGGATGTGTTTTTGGTAACACATGGGCAACACATGGCACTTTTTGAGCAGAATGCTGGAAGGGCAGGAACAAGTTTCTTCCCTGGTGAGTCAATGGATAGAAGTCTGCTTCTGTGAAATGAAGCTGATGGACAGGGCTGGAGCAATTGCTTGAACTCCCTTATAAATACACTGACCCACCATTCCCCACCTGTAAACTTAGATGTTCTTCATCCTCAATGTAGAGAGAGAGTACTGGAGAGCATACAGTGGCAAATCCTATGCAATGTTAGATTAAGTCTTTTACTCCAAGTCTCAAGTCCTTGCAAGATATTTTCAAGTCAAGTCAAGTCTCAAGTCTGGGAGCCAACTTTAATCGGGGGGGGGGGGGGGGGGGGAAGAAAGAAGTGGTATGAGTGTGTGTATGGAGTTTCAATAACTAGAAAAGCAAGAAGGCATGCACAAAGTTGCAGGATAAAAGTGGGAGGATAGGCTGGATCCTTCTAAAATTATTTTTTTCCCCTAAGAGCAGAAGCAGACAAGACCTGGCCCCAGAGCTTGGTGTATGTTTTTTGGAAGGGAAAAGCACAGCAAACGTGCTAGGCATTGGGCTGCTTCATACAGAAGGATGGTCCCTCTAAAGCTAGTTTCCAAGGCTCTTCTGATGTGCAACAGAAACAGGCTGCCAAGGACACCTTGAAAGACCCACTGAGAAACAGAGGTCTAGTCTTGTTCACTATGTCCAGCCCAGAGACAGAAGAAAGGCCCTCCAACTGCCATCACCATGGCCTCAGAGGGAGAGAAGAACTGGCAGCATTTACTGGACTCGATCTTCTCCATTGCCATTCCCTTCTCCTTTTGTGTCATGTCTTTTTAGACTGTAAGCCTGAGGGCAGGGAACTGTCGAATTAACAATTTGTAAACTGCTCTGAGAACCTCTGTGCCAGAAGAGTGGGGTATAAATACACCAAATGAATGAATGAATGAATTAATTAAATATGCTAATTGTTGGAAGTTCTTACGAAAGCCCACATTCTTGCCCATCGCTGTTCAGCAGTAGCAGTAAAGAAAAGCTGTCAGTTGTTATTGCATTTCTGGCTCCCATCTTCATTCACCATTCTCATTTATAAAGAACGGAGCAAAGCATGAAGTTACTCAGCAGCAAGACTTTTTCAAAGGCTTGGGCAAACTCTCCAGAGAGTACCAGTCCTAGCACGAAGGAGCCACAAACCTTCCAAAAACAATCCTTTTAGGATTCCTTAAAGTAGTTCTTTCCTTTCCTCATAGTCACAGAGAAGCCAGTGAACTGCATATGCTTAACCTGAAAGTCTATCAAGGTGGAAGGAAATCTACGAGGAGTATATCAACAGAAAAATCCCATTATTAGTCATTAAATATGCATAGGCAGTGAATGTTTAGAGCATGGAAAAGTCAAGAGATGCTGCGGCTCAATGCAGGATCTTTCTGGTCTATGTGCAGCGACACCACGTGCTGAGTTACAAATATTCAAAGATATAACCATGTTAGTCTGTAGAATCAGTACGTAGATAGATCTTGTAGCACATTTGAGACTAAATGAAAGAAAGAAATTGGCAGCATGAGCTTTCAGAGACTTCAGGATGTCTTATCGAAAGCTTCCACTCCTAGGTAAGCCTTGCTTGAGCAGTGTAGACTTTCCTGAGATGAGATATGTTCCTTCCTGGAACCATTGGTTATCCTTCAGTCCTGACTTCTCTTGTGGTCCTTCACCATGTCTTCCACTTTGTCTTTCAATCCTAATCTCTTCTTTTGTCCAAAGAAGTAGCTGTGTCTCATTGTTCCTGATTCTCAGGGGCTTCTGATTCATCCACAAACCATCCCTGTGCTGAAACTTTATTCCACATTTTACTTCAACAAGGCTGTTGATGACTTGGAGGTCTCTCACTTATAGGGTTGCCATAAGACAAAGTCAACTTGACAACAGTTAGCAACCACAAGGGCTTGCACTACACAACACAGTTAGAGTGGCTTGTTACTACTTTAGCTGCCATGGGTCCATCCTAGAACACAGTGGGATTTGTAGTTTGGCCTGTTATGTTAAATTCCCTGCTGGAGAGTTCAAGTCCTGTAGTTCAAAGAAGTGGACTAGGGGCATCTAGCAGATAGGGATTCCAGGTCTCAGATAATAGGGTTCCCTGGACCATCTTCTCTGGCCTTCAGGGTGAAGATGCAGAATCTCAGGGCAAGATCACTCCCTAAAAATGTGTGTGTGTGTGTGCGCATGTGTATATATACATATTCTCTGCAGCTGGGGTTGATGGTTAAGGAATGATGCTTACTTGCATCTCCAGGGTCTGTCTCCTGAGATATCACAAGGGTCATCTCTAGACGTCTGGGTTTGGTGCTGAAATCTCAGGGTCTAGGATAGGTCCAACCTGGCAATTCTTCCAACAGATGATTCTATGCATCTTCCCAAACTACTCATTCCAAGATTTCACAGACTGGAACTATGATGGTTAAAGTGTTATAATTGCATGGTGCGTTTGTTCATTTCAAGCTTTTTTAGCTCACTCCCCAGCCAACCAGACTCCCAGAGCAGTTTTTATGCAATCCATAAGAGACAACCCCTGCCATGACATGGCACCAAAGGAAAGTGAAGTGGGGAAGGAAGGAAGAGGAAAAAAGAAAGTAGATCCATCAGAGTGCTGAATATGTCTTCCCATAATCTTCCATTTTGGCTTGACGTGAATAGAAATCTTCATGATTTGGGATTGTGTTTTCATGGTGAAAGCAACCAGAATAGAGACGGGGGGAAAGATCAGGAGAAATGCTTGCATACCTTTTCATAGCTTAGGAATCTGGGACAATTTGTAATGAAATATATGCCCAGTGATTTATTTTTAACATGCACTGAACAAATCAAATCTGGGTTGTCTTGGAGTATTCTCTGCAGGGCTGTTTGTTTGGTGAGTTTGTTCCTTTGGGCAGCTCCATCTGAAATCGGTTCAGTCACTTGTCCAAAGTAGGGATGATGGGTTGGCTGGGGATTGGGGGGGTTCATTTCAGGATCATGGAAAATCACTATTTAACTAATCACAGTTGCTAACAAAGCCTGGATTTGTGGTTTAATTCATAAAAGCTTAGCAGAGCCCAGTTGGGTTGCAAATTCAGCCGTACTAATTACTTCCCGCTTAGTGATGAGAGCGAGTCCAGCTCACGTTGTTTTGCACTTGCCTGTTGACACTGGAAGCAGCACCACCGACGTCTGATCCTGCAGCCATTTTTCATGGGGCAGATTTCCTTCTTGCATCCTTCCCCGCTTACAGCCCAGTTGCAAGATTCACAAAGGGACCTATGGGTCAAACTGGCACTGGATACAATCCACACTGAAAGGGTTTCCTCTTTGCTCTTCTGCTCTGGACAACATCTGCTTTAAGCTGCAGAATTTCTCAAACTAATGTCTGGCTTAGCAGCCTGGTGATGATGGGTCATGTTGTTGGATGCAAAGAGGCATCAATGATTGTACAGAATGACTAGTGGGAGCAAAGACATAGTGCCTACAATTTTTCACTTCTGTAGTTTCTTAGATCCATGTACTTATATACCTATGTACTATGTATCTTGGATTGACCACTTCCTTCATACCTGTGGAGGCCGCTTCCACCTTTCCTCTGCTTCTTCTTCATTTGATGAAGTCACTTTCCCCTTCCTTCTGCTTCCTTTTTACCTTTTGAGCTCTCCTGTACCTTCCTTTTGTTTCCTACTTACCTGTTGAAATCATTTGCACCTTTCTTGTGGTTCCTTTGTACCTACTGTGGTCAATCTACCCCTTTCTTTTGCTTCCTTCTTCCTCCTTACCTCTTGAGGTTGCTTCCATCTTCCATGTAGTTTCCATGTAAAGTTTCCATTAAAAGGTGGACCAAACGGTCACCCCAGCCCCGTAACTTGCCAGGATTTACTCTTGGGTAATCAGATTGCAAACTGTGCAAATCAGTTTTCTAAACTCCTTTCTGTGCCAATTGTTTGACTCAGCAGCTGTCCAATGGGTTTCCTGGCCAAGCGGGAATTGAACCTTGATCTCCAGAGTCTTCATTCAAACCACTGACTACGCCATGCTGGCAAAGTATTTGACACTGCTTTTACTGCCATGACTCCATCCCATGGCATTTTGGGGTTTGTAGTTCAGTGGGGCACCAGAGCTCACTGACAGAGATGCCTAAATCTCTCACAAAACTACAACTCCCAGAATCCCATAGCATTGAGCCGTGGCAGTTCAAGCACAGTCAAACTGCATTAATTCTGCAGTGCGGATGCAGCCAGAGAGTAGGTGTCTTTGGAATATTTAAACTCAGGCTTAGCCTTAGGCTTGACAGCAACCTCCTATCTCCTCTAGTTTTCTTCAAAGACTGGGTCCACCTATTGAGTAAGCCTCCTTTAAAAACAACACCACCAGCATGTTCAGTTTATTTGCTGCAGCCTTTTATTATGTGCTGGGAACTCTCAAACTATCTACTCATTTAATGCTGCCTTGCCAGGGCATCTTACCTTAAAATGCTGTTAAAGCATTAGGATAAACAAGCCCTTTCTGCCACCGGAGGTAACCATCTATTTATTCATGCCAAGTTCATGGCCTCTTGTTTTCTGCTTGTCAGGCATGCTCTCATCATTATTAGCTAAGTTAAATGTTTGATTCTAATGGCTGTGAAAGAACAACAGAAGGGCACCAAAAAAAAAAAAGATTTAAAAAATGCTGAATAATTTAAACACACACACGTTCACTTTAGAAGAAAACCAGGATGGTATAGTGGTTAGGGAGAGCCAGCATGGGGCAATGGTTTGAGTGTTGGACTACCATTCTGGAGACCAGGGTTCGATTCCCTGCTCAGCCATGAAACCCACTGGG